TTTTTTTTTTTTGTTTTTTTTTTGTAATTAGTAGATGAAAAAAAAATTAATTAATGGGATAATCATAATAGTTTAATTTGAAATAATATTGGGTCCCTTCCATTTATGATTATAATAGTTTTAAGTTCTTTGAATGGGGCTATTCTTTGTCCTGTCATTATCTCCTATTGGAAAATAAAAAAAAAAAATTACTGGTACACATATGTTTCATTGTTTACATGTACTTAAATTCATTTTGCTAAAAGATTTGCTGATTATATAATAAGATGATACAGTCTCGTTACGGATCCATTTCACTAGAATTTCTAACCATTAGATCAATTATCTCTGATGGTTACATGATGATCTAACTGTTATAAATCCTGACGGAATAATTCCGTAACGGGACCATAACATTTCTCAATTATATATATTGCTTTTCTTTTTTTTTTTTTAAAATAAAAAAACATTATCCTTTTGTCAATATCTTTGTTTTTGCTGCGAATCATATCACTACTGATTGTTACATCTTACATCCACACATATTGAACGTTGACCTTTTAACATAAATAATTGTTACCTAATTATTTAAAAAAATCTTAAATAAAGTGCATTTTCTCCCTCTCTCAGTCTCTCTCTCTTTATTTATTTATTTATTTATTTATTTATTTATTTATTTATTTTAATCCACAGTGAAACAGATGATGAAGAAAGTTGGTGACAGTTCAGAATAGAAGGAAGAAATTTTTCACTTTCCACTGGTTTTTTCACAGTGGACTTTTCACAATTCACAAACATGTCATCGTCGTCATCATCATCATCTTCATGGATCACAGACCTCTCTTGCTCCATCCCCGTCGGCCGACCACCGCAGTCCTCGATTCCGGCCGCCGTCCAATGGCTGAGATTCGTTTTCCTTTCCCCATGCCCTCAGCGAGCCCTCTTAACCTCTATAGACATAATCTTTTTAATTCTCCTGTCCCTTTTCGCCGTCCATAAGCTCTGTTCCAGATTCACTTCAAATGGGAGGAGGCTGATGACCTCAAACGGGCACTCTGAAATTCACACTCCACTGGTTACTCACAAGGCCGGCGGTGCCGCCATTGTTAAGGCTGGCTCGTGGTTTAAGCTCACTCTCATCATCTCGCTAGCTTTATCTCTCGTCTCGGCTGTTTCGTTCGCGTTAGCTTTTACCAAGAGCGGTGAATTCCCGTTTACGACGGTGAACGGCCTTTACTGGCTGTTCCAAGCAGTCACTCATGCAGTTACAGTAGTGCTAATTGTGCACGAGAAGAGATTCAAAGCAACTTCACATCCTCTAACTCTAAGGATATATTGGGCAGTCGAATTTATAGTTTTAGCTCTGTTTTTCTCGACCGGCGTTCTGCGTTTGGTTTCGTTTCAAGAATCCGGTTTGGACTTGAAAACCGACGACATAGTCTCGGTTATTGTTTTCCCTTTCTCCTTCGTCTTGCTTATAGCTGCAGTGAAAGGGTCCACTGGGATTACACTATCAGCTGAAGTTGAAGTTGATCAGGTTATGGATTCAGAACAACCCCTTTTGGGCAATAAACAACAACCCGATGACATGACGACAGGATTTTCTTCAGCTTCAGTCGTCTCGAAAGCCTTCTGGATTTGGATGAACCCACTGTTGAAAAAAGGGTACAGCTCGCCGCTCGGTATAAACGACGTGCCTTCCCTTTCGCCCGAGCACAGAGCCGAGAAAATGTCCCAACTGTTCCAAAAGAATTGGCCCGAACCCGAGGAGAACTCGAAACACCCGGTCTTGAAAACGCTCGTCCGGTGCTTCTGGAAAGAATTCGCCTTTACGGCATTCCTTGCTGTCATCAGGCTGTGCGTTCTCTACGTGGGGCCCACATTGATACAGCGTTTTGTAGATTTCACGTCAGGCGAGAAGAGGTCCTCGCCCTTCGAAGGATATTATCTAGTCGGCATTCTGTTGGGGGCTAAGTTCGTCGAGGTCCTGAGCTCTCATCAGTTCAACTTCAATGCCCAGAAGCTCGGCATGCTCATTCGCTCTACCCTCATCACCTCACTCTACAAGAAGGGCCTTCGCCTATCGGGATCGGCCCGACAGGCCCACGGAGTGGGCCAGATTGTTAACTACATGGCGGTCGATGCCCAGCAGCTCTCGGATATGATACTTCAATTACATTTCCTCTGGCTTATGCCTTTGCAGCTAACGGTTGCCCTAGTCATTCTCTACCAATACTTAGGAACCTCGACTCTTGCAGCAATAATCGGGCTCGTTTTAGTAATGGTGTTTGTTCTGGTCCGGACTAAGAAGAACAATGGTTACCAGTTCAGCCTCATGAAAAACCGAGACTTGCGCATGAAGGCCACGAACGAGATGCTCAACTACATGCGGGTGATTAAGTTCCAAGCATGGGAGGAGCATTTTAACAAGAGGATACAATCTTTTCGGGAGACTGAATACGGGTGGCTCACCAAATTCATGTACTCCATCGCGGCTAACATTATCGTGCTGTGGAGCACGCCAGCTCTTATAGCGACCATCACGTTCGGAAGCGCGGTTCTTCTCGGTTTTCCCCTCTCGGTGGGGACCGTTTTCACGGCGACTTCGCTGCTGAAGATGTTGCAGGAGCC